TCCTCGTCCTCATCCTCATCCTCGTCCTCATCCTCATCCTCGTCCAGATTCAGATCGCTCAGAATCCCAATGATATACGGCCGCGGATCTCGTGCCATCGGTTGTAGCGCGCGTGCCGGTAGTCGCGCAGGCGGGACTGCAGTTCCTCCGGGAGGGCTTCCCACTCGGCTTCTGACGTGGACCGGTAGCGCTTCCAGTCCCATCCTTCAGGGGGCGGAGGCTGGAGGTCCTTGAAGAAGGCGTCGTTGTCGATACTTGGTCCGGACATGATGTTATGCGATGGCGGTGGGGGCAAGGCTGGGTTGAGGAAGAATGGGAGTACGTGTCAGGCTCTGATGGGTGAGTTGTTGAGTGAGGTGAAGGAGAAAAAGGACGAGGAGGATGAGAAAGTGGATTGATGTGGGATTTGGCTGCGAGGCAGGCTGCCGTACTTGCAGGAGACGAAGGTTGTTGGTTCTTCACAACCAACCATTTGGACTTTCCGGTACGCGTAACTTCGATCCGTTATACCGTACTCGCACCCCTATCATTCTGATATGGATAAGCCAGGTCAGCTTCGCTCTCTTTGCTGCTGGGAACAGCTCACGAAGTCTCATCAAACGGGGAGATGAGGGGGTGGTGATGATAAGACGCGATGACTCCTAGATGGATCAGCACTCACTCTCCTCACTCACACCACGATGTAAGGGGGGGAGGGACGATTAGATCTGGGAAGTACTCACCAAATGCTCACCTTAGGACCATTCGTCGATGCCGAGAATAGGGACGCCGTAATCTTGTATACAGGGCTTTGAGATTGCGGTAGGAGCTGATTCTGAACCGAGTAGTGTCCGATGTACGGATGGGTCCGGGTCCGTTTTGGCATACGTTCTAGTTCCGCGCCGGCCCGCGCTTCTCGAGCAGGGAGTAGACGTGTGCCCTGGTTGTGTTGGAATTGTCGTCCCAGTCCAGGGTTAGACCCTCCGGTAATTCTGGCGGCAGAAGCTCGAGGAAGTCTCCGAAGCACGGCCGTCAAGGTCCACAGTATTCCTGGGCGAAATCAATGGTTCGTCCAACCTCACAGTCGTGACCATTATGTCTTGTGTACATCTATTTATTCCTTTTTGTTACCAGGCAATCGAATTCTAGCTAGGTCAACTCCAGCTGCAAGATGCCTCCTGGTTACACGTTTTTGTGGATTGCTCCCTGGTCGTTCGTAGCTAACATACGTCTATGCCCACTTTCCCAGCAACGCCATCAGTGCCGCCCCCAGAAATAGGGAAAGGAGCATAAAAATGACGCGCTCCCCGCGCTCGCTCACGTGCTGATTGAAGATGAAGTCCCGAGCCAACATCTCGACCACTCCCGTATATAGGAGAACACCCGCCGACGCGGCATCAATGATACCAGAGACGACATTTGCCGTGAAGGAGGTGCCGTCATAGGACGTCTTGAGACCCATTCCGGCAGCGATAGCGATCGGGGTGGTCAACCCGTAGGCGAGAGAGAGTACCCACGGGAGGTACGCAAGGTGGCCTGGAAATGGAATCTCCGAGAGACGAGCCCCAATTCCGAGACCCTCAAAGGCCTGGTGGAAGACCATGACCGGGTATAGCGTGGTGAACTCGTCGCCTACCACTCCCAGGTTGAGGCCGATGATGACCGAGTGGAATATGATGCCAAATTCCAGAATGAGAAATGCCGAAATCTTCTCTCTGAATGCACGCTGTTGGTCTTCTATGTCCAACGAAAGGCTCTCTATCTCTGTCGAAGCGTTCTTTGTCGTATTAAAATCGATAGCTGCGCCATCGCCATAAGCTAGCTGCTCGCCCGGCCGGGGTGCCACGACGGATCTTTCAACGAGGTCGGATTCCAAATTATCGGAGAGCCGCCTGGACTGGACAAGCCGCCGCGCCGTAAAGTCAAGAAGAAAGTTAAGCATCAGCGACGCCATGGCAATTGCCGGAGGCCACGCATAGCCCACCCAGCCCCCGGTCAGGCCGACGCATGACGCCGGTCCAATCTCGTCGTATGCGGGATCAAGCAGGTGGATGAAGGCGGTTGCGATGATGACCCCGGAGCCGAAGTATTTGAAGAATAAGTAAAGATACAGGGGCATGTGAAAAAATTGCATGCGTGTCGATAGAACCGGAATGAGTGTTGTCGCAGTCGAGGCGACGAAGATAACGAAGACGGCTGAGATGCGGATTCCGAGACTGCCACTGCCGTCATCTTTCTCAGAGGACGCTAGGTAGCATACTATATCTCTTTGGTCTGCAGTATCCAAGTCAACGCTGTGCGGGTTGAAATGCAGCGACATTGTAGCGACTGTGGCAGATACAACCAACTGTTGGCGGCCTAATGAAACTGAAAATGACACGGTCAATCCACCCAAGTTCAACGAGTCAAAGAAAGCATATGGCCCAGCATCCGAAAGGTCCTCAGGACGGGTGCCAGCGCACTTTAAATAAGATGCGCTCGAGGTAGACCGGTATCTGGAGCAGGATGTGATATTTGACTTGCCATCAGCTGCGGATCCTACCTTGATGGTCGAACTTGAATAAGGGGGTGCACCTTGATGGCCGGGCCCTTTCTTGCGGTCATTGCGGAGAGTGCCATAATGAATTGTCTCTTTATAACTTCGAGACTCATTCCCGAAGAAGTTCGACACTCGTGAACTAGTGAAGGTGGAGCTCGAGAAGGGGTCCCTGTGGCCATGCCGGCGTGTGAGAGCCAAGGTCCTGTCGGCGCAACCTTGGCAACGGCTTACCTACAGTAGTTCCTCTTCTATGGTTTTGGACTCAAATTGCGTGATTCTAGATGCTATAAATTTTGTTCTTGGATGGTTTTATGAAGCCATGCTCGTCATGAGTCTATTGACTTCGCTGATGTCCCGTTGCAGGACGCCCAACCTGGGTTCCGGCGCTGGAGTACTGCCAGGATTGTTCTATGGGGGATAGACCTATAACGATGAATATAGATCGAAGTTGTGCAGAAGAGCTCGCAGCTGAACAAGTCGGTGTTGCAGAAGCGAGAGCCCAAAGGAATCCCCGCGTCCTGGGGCGCCTTCAACCCTAAGATTTCACAAAGGAGGACCTAGGTTCGAAAGGAAGCCGGTTAGGGACGCCTGAACAGAGTAAACGTGGTGTAGCATGCCCTCCAGTCTGATCATTCCAGCCGCTGAATCTCTCAACGACTAAGCGCGTCTTCCGTGTTTCTCGTCATCACCTCTACACTGTCATCTCATTCGATCGCTATGACCAATACTGCGGTGTAGTTGCTGAGTTCTTCCTCAATGTGACCTCCTATCCGAGGCTACAGCTAGATGGAAAACCAAGGGTGCGTGGCCAACTCTTCTGCTTTTATACGCGCTGTCGGATCATACGTGAAGACCTTGGATAAGAGGTCGGCCAGTAAGGACGCCTCTGGCTCAGAAATCCTCGGAAAAGCCCCAAGCATGCCA